AGAGTTGAAAAATATAGTGGTTTGATGGATTATCTCAAATTTAGATCTGAAAATGACAATGTGTGGATTGGTAAAATGATAATACTTTCATCATCTTCTGAGGGTAGTCCCAGAAATATGCAGCAGCGATATCAGGATGCTACGGCAATTGTAACGAAGTATGGCAAGCCCAATTTATTCATAACCATGACATGCAACCTCAAATGGGCAGATATTGCAAACAATTTACAACGCTGGCAAAAAGTTGAAAACAGACCTGACTTGGTAGCCAGAGTTTTTAATATTAAGCTGATTGCTCTTTTAAATGATATCTGTAAATTCCATTTATTTGGCAAAGTAATAGCTAAAATTCATGTCGTTGAATTTCAGAAACACGGAATGCCTCGTGCTCACATATTATTGATATTAGATAGTGAGTCCAAATTACGTTCCTCTAATTAATTCCCTTTTAATGTGCACGAATTTCGTGCACCAGGCTACTAGTAGTTGATAATACTATATTTTATACTTGAGATTTGCTAAGAGGGTAGATCTTCAGTGTTCTCACCACACTATGTGAGGTGGTCAGTGTGTTAATTAACTGTGGTAATCATTTCAGGATATATGTCAAATTGTAACATTGTACACTTTAAAAATATACAATTATACTTATCAATTAAACCTCAATAATGCTGGAAAAATATATTTTTTGAGGGTACATCATATGTTGGGCACTGTGCTGAGCATTGAATATATATATTAGCAAGTACAATAGGCACAGACCACACACTGATAGACTCTAGCAGGTAGAAGGAACAATAAACAAAATGAAAATGAAAATAAACAATTATCATAAGTGCTATGAAAGAAGTATAGTTTAATGAGAACCTATAACAGGAATAAATTACTAGGGAGGTCTTCCTTAAGAAAATTTCACTTAAACCCAGAATGAAAGGAAGTGAAGGAGTTAGCAAGAAAAATGAGCAGGATATGGTGCTACAGGCAAAAGGATTAACATGTACAGAGGCCTTGAAGTGAGAGAGAGTCCAGTGCATTTAAGAACTAAAAATGAGCAGGGCCAATGGATCAAGCAAGGGGAAGAGAGTGGGATGAAGGAAAGTGAAGAAACAGGTAAGTCCAGGCCATGATAGGGATCTTTTTTTTTTTTTTTTGGTCTTTATCCTAAGAGGATGAGAAGCCATTTAAGGGTTTAAGACAGTGTGACAAAAATCAGATTTGCATTTTAGAAACAGTTATTCTGCAGTCTGAAGAAGAAAGGACCAGAAGGGACAAGAAATGCATAAGACTTGATAATGACTGGGATTGGAATGCTGGAGGTGGAGATGGTGAGAAGAGGATAGGTTTTTATGTTTAGAAATAGATTCCACTTAGTGATTTTGAGGTAGACAGTTCTAGGGGTTAGAAGAGGAAAGACTGGTTTGAGTAGCTGGATGAATAGTGGTGACATTGAGTAGGATGCTGGAAAAGAACCAGGTTTGAGAAGGAAAATGATTTCATTTTTGTATTTGATCAGTTCAGGTTGCCTGTGAAGCATCAAAAGTGGAAAATTAAGTAATCAGTTAATATGTAGGAATCTGGAGTTTAAGAGATGTCCTAGCTAGAGGCACATTTGTGAGTTGTTGGCTTATCTACACTAATAAAAGAGAAACACGGTAATTGGCGTACGACCACTACCCTTCCCATTGGCTAATCAGCGAGATATGCAAATTAACTGACAGCCAAGATGGCGGCCAGCAGCCAGGCAGCTTGAAACTAACATGAGGCTTGCTTGCCTCAGTGAGGGAGGAAACCAACGTTCCCCGCCTGGGGCTGCAGGCCTCTGAGCCTACGATTTAAGAAACTATGTAACAAATACCACCGGACCTCAGCCAGCAGGATTGCAACATTGTAAGCAAAGGCCAGAAACCTACTTTCAGCCCCGGAGGCTTAAGAGCTGGAGCCAAGCCTCAAAGCTAAAGCTGGCCCAGAATAAAAAGAAAAAAAGGAGCGGTTGGGAGCTTCAGTCACCCCCAGCCTGAAAACAGCCCTCAGCCCCT